AAAGAGAAATTAGTACTATATATTACATAGATTTTAGAAATCTCTGACAACAGAATGGAGGACATCCAACTGCAGGCAGACACCAGAAAGAGAGGGGTCTTTACTTCAGCTAAGGTTTTGGAGTACAGTGAAACACATTCCTTAAAACTGTATGACTGTCCAATATATTAACAACTACTCTACATTTTTTCAGACCATGTCAAATGACCAATGTCTAAAAGTGGAAAAAAAACTTTAGAATTTACACAGCAGTGGGGATAGAAGAATGGAAAATGTGAATACTGCTTAACTCAACAAAATGAAGATCAAACATCTAGTTTTCTTAGACTATTCCTTATATACACACACACACACACATATATATATATATATGTATATATATATATTTGAGCATTATGTGTATAAGCAGGTTAAAAATGTTTATGCACTAGCACAGCTAGGTACATGTAGAGGCTTGAGAGAGACTTGGACTACACTCTACCCTGAGGGACATTGAGACAGACTGGGCTGCTGTACATTTTAATCTGCTCTGTAGAAAAATTGGTCTTCAGCAAGAAAGAAGATAAAAAGCAAATACAGACAGTATGTCAGTGAGAGAAAGAAGTTATTTAAACTCTTAAGACCTTGCCAGAGCAGAAAGCCTTGCAAGACATCCACATCCTTCCACCAAAAATAGCTAAGGAAAATAGAACAAAATGATCATTCTCCCCAGGAAGGATGAGAATTACAGGAAAATGGAAAAGGCATTTTAAAAAGTCTTTGTGTCTGATTGTTCACTCTGCTGAGTAGAGAGTGGTACTACTAATCCATACCAAAATATTTAACTAATACATAAATACAGCAAAGAGGCTAGCCAAAGCTTTCTTCAAGAAAACATGGAGCACTGGGGTGGTCTCTGCAGCCCCCGGCAGCTGGACATGAGGCACACCTCTCCACCTGCACTTGGCTTAAGTTCAGATGGCAGAATGAGTTAGTGGAACAGACCACGCTGAATAATACTGGCTTTTTTTGTCCCCTAGAGTAGTCTGCAATAATTTTGCTAACACTCTGACTATAAAGATTCACTAATCTTGTATTTGCACTATTACCTCTGAAAAGGGAGACCTTGAAATTGGTCAAGATACTGTGCTTCTGTAATCATTATTTTTCCTTCCCACTATCTGACTAGCTGGTGTGCTCAGCTGAAAAGGATTTCAACTCTTCAGAAAGGAGAAATGGGGAAAAAAAAGCATAACAGAGTGGGGATGAGGTGCTGATACTTGCCCTAACTGCAGCCCTTTCTAACAATCCTGATTTCTACCTCTCAGAAAAATTTGTCAGCAGCTCTTCAATCAGACATCCTCACCAACATCCAGGTAAATATGCTGCACCTGGACTCAGTGACTCAGATGACTGTTTCCAATCTCAGGGACCTGAACTACTGCTTTTCCTTCCCGTCCCACTACACCCTCCTGCTCAAGCTAGCATCTTCTGGCTCATCTTGCTCCACTACTTCTGCATTGAGGTGACTCCAGAGAGGTGCAGTCTGGCTCCTGGTTGCTCTTGTTGCTCAATGAAACTGACTTCAAGTTCTGAGTGTCCCAACTCACTCTTCTTTTGCCTCTGACATCACTGTGAAAGGCAGACACCTGGTTTGCTTGCCCTTAAAGCTCCCCCCCTGCACCACAATTAGCTGTGGCTGCCAGGAGAAACTGGAGCTGACAAGAGCAAATAAGAAAGCTGAGCAATCACCTTAGAGGAGAGAATGGCCCTATGAATGTAATTGGTTAAGGCTATGAACAGTTTTCACATTAAATGTCTGTGTCAATTTATTTCCTTAAACAAAGTTAAAGCACATCAACTAGAAGCATTAAATGTTTAGTATAGCTTATATCTCCTGAACTCCTTGGCCATTGCTCACTCTTCCTTTCAGACCCTCAGTTACGCAGCACAGGCTGCAAGAGCTGACATTTTGCTGGTGTCAGCACCTCGGCCTGGGTTTCATGCCCCACATTTCCCTGACAGTCTGCATCTTTCTTCTGTTATGTGCATTATATGAAGAACCCTGCCAGAACTCTGCAAATTCTTCAGGGCAGATGATGGAATGATGACAACAGGCAAAAACCAAAAAGGTGGAAGTTCATCACAGTCCTTTCAGTTCATGAAGAGCTGTTTCACAAATTTCAAAACACCAACAAAATCTGCTTTGTATGTACACAGAATTTCAAATTAGGATCAGCATTCACTTTTTTTAAATACCAACCTTCTCCTGCTAGAGATTTCACATATGATTCTTTGTGAAGACAATCAAAAGTTCTCAATGTGTATTTGAAGGAAAGTTAGATTATTTCTTTTTTGTGTTGTGATATTGTCTTAATTTTTTTCTAGAAAAGAGAGCATTTGGGTGCGTCCCTTGTGCATACAGATAAAGTTTATTGAGTGAAATGTGCAACTCAGGCTGTTTTGCAGATGAATACAAAGTCCAAGAGTCACAAGGATAAGAGGTGGCCATTTGGAGGCATTTTCTTCTGTGATTTGTATACTGAACTTTTAACTATTGGACACAATGTGAGCAATGTAGAATTTCCTGCAAGGACAGGTTGTCTTTTGATATTTCTCATTTCCAGCTAACATGCCACTGTACAGTGAAGAAGGCTGCTACCCACCCTGCTGTGGTGACTTCAAACTGGCAGACAGCCCAGGTTGCTTTGACTAGCAAAAATCGAAGGTATGACCTTGTTGAAGAGCAGTACTGGCATTTCAGGACTTTATGACTGACTACGCTACATTTAAAATGAAAAGCAGAAAAAAGCCGAAGCATGAGCTGAGCTGAAAGCACACAACATGCCTCTGCACCACCACCAGAATAGGCCGGGCTTACTTGAAGCCGATTTGCAACATGTCACCTTTCCTCCTACATTTTTTAAAACATCTGTGCCATCATAAAGCAGTTGACTAGAAAGTACCTATTTCAATGGATAGCAATCCATATCATCATGCCAAAATTACCTCATTGGCTTTGAAACAGCTACAGCATCTTGCATATAGATTAGTGGAGTGAAAAAAATATGATTAAACCAAACGGATAAAAATGCAGGTGTTAAGGTGATAGGTGCAAGTTCATGGGATGCAACAAATGGATACAACTGGGAAAACCAGGCTCAGGCCACACAACCACTCTTCAGTTTTTTATAAAGTTGAAAATGTTTCTGAGTGTTTTGTGTTTCTAGCCTAAGGTTTGAAGTGAGATGTATTTGTGTCCCTGTTAGCTTCTCTGCTTCTGACTATTCTTAACCTAATAAAAAAACCATATAACTGCCCTACCAACCCTCTTTTCTTTAGCCTTATACCATCAGAGCTATGAGAATACAACTGCAGCTTTGGAAGGCTAAGACAGTATCTACAAAACATTAAAAATGGCACTCTAACCTACATTTCTACCAGGTCATTTAAAACAAAGACTTCTCCTACTTGACTTCACATAATTTCAATTTTTAAAATTACTATTGTCAGATGACCTTGTAATATAATCCATCCTACCACCACAGAAGAACATCCAAACCACTTACTCTCTTGCCAGCTGATTTGGCTTTCCTTTCACTTGGAACCATGGATCTGGGGAATAAAGCAAGGCAAAGCCACAGCTCTTAATGGAGGAGGGTATGAGAGGCTACAAGTCAATCTGAAGCCTTTCCTTCCCACAAAAGCAACTACTGCAAGAACAGGAAGTGATTGAGACTGGAAGTGAAGATATAGCGTATATGGGATAGGATGGCAACAGTTCAATACATATTTCAAAATGGACTTCTGGGGGACAAGGAAGATGTATGTGAATAGGAAGGAAATCAGTGTTTTAGAGAAATTCTTACTACTTTATGGATTTTCTATGCTGCCTTTCTTACAGAATTACTGCACTGTATTTAAAACTTTCCTAGCAGGCTGAGCTCAAGACTTCAGACAACAAAGATCATGACAAGGACATGGTTTCTGAAAGCAGTTTTTTTTTCAAGCTTTAACTGACTATTTTCCAGGCTTTCAGATGCACACTGCTTTGGAGAACGTATTTCTGTCCACTCTTCAGAGAGAAATCCTTTGCCAATACGCACGTGAATGCATTGTAACTACTACAACCATCCACTCAAAGCATGTCCTTGCACTTTTACCAAAAACCATGCCAATCACTACCAAAACACAAAGAGATAAACAAGAATTATGTAATGCCACTGGATGGGTGCCAGTAGTTTACTATGATGGAATTATAGTTGGAAAGCAGTTCATAATACAGTAGCCCTTGTACCCAGACTTGTAGGTATCATCTGTGTTCCCCAAAGTTGATGGTTTTTGTCATAAACTTGTAGCATGTTTCCCAATGGAACTGCGTTTATGATATGACTTCTTCTGCCAAGCACCTTCACAGTATTCCTCATTTGTTTAAAAAATATCAGAAATATTCTATACGTCATCAACACCTAATTAATCTAATTCCAGTGGTTTAAATAGTGTTTCATCACAGAGAGCTTGAATTTATTGTGAAGTGAAATACAGAAGTACACTGGCAAAAAGGACTATTTCTGTCTTCTTCATGATCTTCTTGGGCTACAGAGAACTGAAAAAACCAGCATTTACAACAGAAATTTTCCACTTACCTTTTAAAGTGGTTCAGCACTTTCAAACTATGCCAAATGGAATACATAGCACTCAGTGGGTAATCTACCTTAAAGGGACACAACAAAGCAATTTTTTAGCATTGCTGGATACATAATACTACAGAAGAGAATGCTCTTTATAGCTCCTTGCTATGAAGAACAATGTCTTCACACAAAAGTGCATGGAAGTGCTGTTATTTGTTGTCAGTATGGTGAGATGGCTAAGAGAATACACTGAGCCTTCAAATAGTTCCTTCACATTTTTGAAAATAAACAGCTCTAGAGCTGTTAATCACTTAAGACTTATCTTTACAAATTAATTAATTTTGAGAAGGACTAATGTTTAAGCCATAATTCTTGAGTGGATTTTTTTTCTGTTAGATACTTCTAAAGGCCTCATGATCACCCTGTAACTTTGACATTGTTTTGTGGATTTAAACATCGCACCTTCAGAATACACCTTCTTTGTATTCAGAGGAATACGAAATCATGTGAAGATTTAAAAGCTGTAACTTTGACATTGTTTTGTGGATTTAAACATCGCACCTTCAGTAACAAAGAGGAATACAAAATCATGTGAAGATTTAAAACTTCAAATAAGACAGTCACCCCCATAAAGCTTTGCCTAAAATTGAAACTTCTTTGTATTCAGAGGAATACGAAATCATGTGAAGATTTAAAAGTTCAAATAAGACAGTCACCCCCATAAAGCTTTGCCTAAAACTGAAACAACTAACATTGCTAGGAGTGACAAAGGAAAGGAAATCCAAGACAAGGATAAACAACATTGCTAGGAGTGACAAAGGAAAGGAAATCCAAGACAAGAAGGACAACTTTGTCAATTACAGTTCCTTTAGTAATAGTACAGTGCAACATCATCAACCAAAATACATCTACTTGTACATAATACAAAAATAAAGTTTATACTGTGCTAGGAATATTTAGTGAGCTTAAAGAGTGATGCATAACATTTTCTCTTAAATAATATGGCCAGGTACACTCAGCCAAATGGATGTTCTAACACACTCTCTTTGAAGACAAACACATAAAGAGCAGTTTCTTAGTTCAGTGTATCTATATATCATACCTCAGCTAGAGTTTGAGAGCAAGTGAAATCTTTCAAGTTTTCCCTTCGCTACTGCTCTTTAGCCATAGCACAGCAATTCTACAATCAAATGGTGAGTTGAATTTTTGATAGTGGCATTTATTAGCAGATACAGAAAAGTACTATTCAGAGCCAGCCTAAGGCACCATAGTTTCCACAACAGACCCAAGACATTACTGGCAAAAATCAATTTTAAAGGCAGCTATGAATGTTTAGCTACAGTACCATGACGAACAGCAACCTAACATTGACAACATTCTCTGTTGACTAGTGTGGCTCTGTTTATTTTCTAGAAGGAGTAGTAAAATATATGATTTTAATGTTACTACAATCTGAAGAATGCATAAACTCTTAGCAAAAAAAAAAAAATCTCCTTTTATCTCTCCTTTTTAAAATTCCAATCATCAATCTTGCAAGAAAAATACTTTTACAGACTTTTTAGAAATACAGTTTCCAACACGTTACATAGTAAAAAGCCCACTAAATTATTTCCTTCTTTTAAAAGAAAGTATATTGTCCCATGTCCCTCTCTCCCAAATGCATGGTATCTGCCTCTGCTATCAACACCACTGGTGAACAATTAATTTAACCAAATCAAGTTCTCTCCTGAAGTCCTAAAAAGCAAACATGAACCCTTGATATCCTCAAGACTTCTTCCCTAATAATAGCCCATGATACTGGCTAGAATTTAAAGCAATATGAAGTGAAACTATCATTTATCATCTTGACAGCCCCTGCCACAAGACCGAAATAGCTACCTTGCTAAAACTCTTTTAAATTCTAGAGTGAAAAGTAGGATTACAATAGGAGTAAATTAATCAAATTTCACTACAGAAATTGTGCGTTCCATATTGAACATTGTAGTTCAGACAGAGAATCACAGCTGAGACATACTTAAATAAGTACTTTGAATTTCAGAATATGTCCCAGACACACCACAGTGTGATGTCAGAAAGTTGATTGTGACAGTCACTGTAGCTAGTCTGCTTGCATTCACCAAGGGATAGAAAAATTTATCAGAGGAAAAGAATACTTTTTCCAAGTATTTTTCAAATTACCATCAACTCTCACCATACTCCTTCCACTTATCTAACACAGAATAGTTAGGGTTGTAAGGGACCTTCAGAGATCATCTAGTCTAACCCTCACTTGTATCCCCACATTTAAGAGTAGGACTGTCTGCAACTACTTATAAAAAATAACTAATATTTTTTATAGTGTTGATACATTATGTAATAAATCCCCAAATGTTTTCATTTGTGTATTTATGTACTTGGTTTGCCAAAACCTTGGCTCTTACCTGCACTTAGCACAGAGTGTTGAAGAGATTTTTCTGTGCCTTACAATAATGCCAACCTTGAAGTCAGACATTTTACTGCCAGTGCAGTGAATAACCTCAAGATTTTCCAATGAAAAATACCAGCAGCACATAAAATGCAAATTTGCATCTCACTACCTGTTTTCCTCTAAGGTGCAATGAGCAGCAGTCTCGTAATATGGTTTCTGCATCTTTTATGCCTGAACCTTATTATCAGCTTTCACGCTTTTACTCATTTTTTGAAATTACGTGAAACACCTCTTCAGAACTAAACTACACAATCATATGTTATATATGTTCAGTCAAGTGTGAAGAAACATAGTTCAGATTCTAGAAACACAATGAGCAACAGTGATTCCTCCCATTTCAAACAAATTTAAAATAAATAATTTCAATTAAAGTAACAGCTTCAACCATAACAGCTGTGTAGCATATAAAAAACCAAGAACTACAGGGAATTAATTTTGCTATCGTTATCTAATCACACGAATTTTCTGAGTCAATCAATACCAACATTTTCTAAGCTAAAACTCAGATCTGAGAATGACATAGAAAATGGGACAAGAACATTATGTTAAGAACAGACATTCTTCATCAAATGAGCTAACCACACCTCACAGTTTCAAGTAACTTTGGTCATGTTCTGTATGTGCTCAGATCTCCAAAGACCTGGATATATTGTACATTGCTTATCGATAACCACATAGTACAGCCTTATCGTTCTTTTATATGACTGGGCTAATGATGACTTAACCAAAGAAAACTGAAGTCATCTTGTATGGTCGGTTCTGATCTCAGTCACCTAACACATGACACAAAAGTATCTATGAGAGCAGTGCAAATACAAAAACTCCAGGGGAGAAAATAACAAAAAAAACCCAAAAACCACCATCAAAAACAACAAGGAAATTTAAAAAAAAAAAAAAGAAAAAAAAGGCTGTATGGTTTTTCTCAGCAATTGTTTACTATTTTGCCTTCTGGCAGATGAAAGAAGTTATCTTCTTTGAGTTTAAGATGTTCTGGTAGATCTAGCTGTCTTTTTGCTTCTTCAATGTCTTCCTGAATTGCCGAAATGAGCGCATCTGAAAAAGGTAAGAATCGGGATATTTAAAAGTTGGTTTGTATTCTGAACACAATACCAAGTAAAATAAGGCACCATAAAATATAAAAAAACAATCACAGAAGTAGAATGTAACTATGAGGTTTGAAAGGCAAAAAAATATTTTAAAAGCAGAGAATTCTAACATGCTGAAGTTGCATTTTTACCTGTTACTAGTACTATCCTCTTCATTTGCCAAAACACATATTAGCAGCTCTGTTTCAATATTAACAAAACTGCATTTTAAGCAGAAATTAGTACACTTTTATGACAAGCCCATGATTTTAATGTAACTCCTCAGACAAGCAAAAGAAAAGTGCAGGTTTTTAGTGTGATACATAAGAATATGTGGGTTATGTTTTTTGTTTTTAAATTACGAAAACATTTTACTAATGTTTTAAAGGTTAACCAATAATACATCTCAAGAGGGAAGGAGGTACAGTGAAGACCCAGAACTTGCATGAGTAAGGCAAAAAAGAAACTACTCTGAGGGAGACCTTCAATACTGACCTAAGGAATCAAAGTTTTTTTCCGGTCGAATGTATCCAGTTATGACTATACTAAGAATTTCTCCATAAAAGTCTTCTTTGAAGGTGTGGATAATGTGTGTTTCCTACAGGAAGAGAAGAAAGTGGACAATTGCTGTAAACTTAAGACTTTATTTTTCTCTCTGTAAGCATGTAGGCCCGATTTCCAACATTCAAATTCTCCTTAACAGATAAAAAATAAAAGGGACATTTAGCACAGCATGTATAACCCAAAATTAAAAGGCCAGGGCTTTAGTTTGTATTAGGAAGTAGAACTGCATTCTGCATGGAATTAAAAAAAAAAAAAATTACTTCCTTAAAGAGTAAAAAGTGTTCAAAGAGAAAAGGAATGGAAAAAAAAAACCCAACAAAACAAAAAGCCCCCAAACAAAACAAAAAGACCCAACAAACCAGTGAAAACCAATTTAAAAAAAACCCCAAAACCCACACCCCCAGACATCAGGAGTTCCTCAGAGTTAAGATTTCCAAAGCAGGAAATGTTAATGTTTCATCAACAAGTTGATACTTTAAAATAACTATGAAGATTTTGACAGAAGTATCAAGGAGATATTCAAGGAGAGCTTTTACAACTATCTCCTAAGTGCACTGAATGATAAAACTGAATGATAAAAGAGCAATTCCAGACTAAGACACAGACTTGACACTCAAAACTTTTATGTACATGTTGATCTCCAAAATAGGCCAACCCATAGCATCTACCAGCAGAGCTACCATTTGGGAAGCTTTTAACTACTTGCTCAGAAAAGTTATCTGCAAAAAAATATTGAAGTATAGATTTGCCTAAGACAAACACTTAGAAGTAGAGATTCAGGTACAAATAAAATTGTTTTTAACAAATTTAGGAGAGCTTTGCAAGACTCAGGAAAAGCACCAGCACTTAACAGCAAAAGAAACCCACAGCTGTCACAACTCAGGATTTTAACTTCTCCATCCTTACATCCTTATATGCCTTCAAATATTTATTTGGTACATTAAGCCGCAGCATCTTATGAATCCATTTCATCATTTAAGAAAATAATTAATTAAAAATTCATTACAAATTAAGCTGCCCCAACATCTCCTATCTGAAATGCAGATACATTGCAGAGAATAACAGATTATTACTATGTTCCAGCTTATGCTAGGGTCTCATAACCAGTAAATTCAATGCACTTACCAAGTTAATGCTTAATTTGCTATCAGCAAGTCAAGCAACCATCATGTCAAGTACTATTATGTTTTAATTTTGGAAGCAGTTAAGAAATGGTGGAAGAGAAGAGAGAAAAACTTTATTCAACTTCCTTTGCATACTCTCTGGTTACAGAGAGTATATATTCTTTTCAGAATACAAATATTAAATAGATAACAAATGCATTTCTAATGGCGCGCAAATTCCTAGATACCATTCATCAATCAAATTCTGCGTACCTTGTTAACATTCATTCAGTCTTTTATTACAATAAAAATCCCACAAAAAGCAAAATTCTTACCACTGATTTCTTAATATTCTTATAGAAGGGATTCCATCCTATGCTCAAAACCATTTTATGCACATCTCCATTTCCAACACAGGCCCATCCA